ACACAAGTGTAATTACACAAATGTAATTTTTTCAAAGACTCTCACGCCCTTAATATGCAAATTTCTAGAAATTTGTAACCGTAATTGTATTTTGAGTTAAAGAGCTTCAAATGACTTCCAATGAGGTTTTTCGAAAACTCAAACAATGTCTGTGAAAAAGGGCTACAAATTTCGAATTTACATTATCGATTAAACGCCATTGCATAAACTTACTTGTATCAATATTTTCTATCACCGAAATAGTACTTCGTAACATCGATCTTCTCGAAAGTACTTCTAAGCGAGTAAAAAGGCTACTTGCCTTTTCCTCTTTACCGGATAAGTATGCCATCATGATTTTCTCTGAAATATATTGCACTGAAAATTGCATTTGCTGCTATTTTAATATCCGAATCACAATTGCACATAGTTTTGCACAGAAAACTCAAAGAATCTTCCCGTGTAACAAACAAAGTCGGCATCGAAAAAAACTAGTGGTAATACAAAACCACATAATTGCGAGTATTATTTATATTGTAACCTAAATGAACCTGCCCCGCGTTGGGCGTGCCAATGTGTAATGAATTTATAATTCATCAACTATATTTAAGTCAACTTATTTTATCGTTCCCCAAGCTGGGTAGCCACTTGTAACGTTTGTATATTCTTCTAATTTAATTTGCCCCGCTATGCTCGTACATCAACTGCTCTAATTACTCATAGTTTGGTATATCTCTGTTTTTTATTAAGATCTTGCATGAGTTTGACGTACAACATAGATCACCTTATCGGTTGCACATGGACGTGTGACTCTGTACAGAAATCACGATTACTGGAACTTCTGTGGAATTTTGCTACTTACTGAATTGATGGTAATTCAATGAAATATCAGCCTTTTCTTTTCAAACAAGAAATAACATTTATTGTCACATTCTAATAAAATATCTCGAGCTCGTTATTAATCCATGATTCTATGGCCTATGCCATTATTCCACCGTACGGCTTTAATAAAGTTCGTTAGCTTACGGAATGTCTTCTCGGTTGATACGATGCCGCCGTCTTCTCCAAAAGCAAAAGTTCAGGGTCCTCATGTGGTGTAAGGTATGGGCCTAATGTCCGCGTAAACTTTGAATGTCACCCGACTGTTGTTAATTATACAGTCCGCTATTCGGAAAAATCCCTACATCTGCTATAGTATTATCGCGTCGTGACGTTCCCTAACTAGGTTTAGGGTGAAACCTCTATTCGCGACTACTATTTCCTTAGAATTAATAATTTATAATTCCTACTATGGAACTAACCTCATATAAACCCACGAACACGAAGTCTAAATATTTTAAATGCAAAATCCATGCACGAGAACAAATATAACTATTATTAAACAATGCAAACATTTTTCCACTTTAATCTCAAATAAACAGTACTGCTTATCCCCAAAATACAATGTTCGCTGAACATGTGACCTGCCGTATATTTATCAGCGTACCTTGCTTCAATCGAGAAACAATTTCAACAAAAGATTTGGAGTAGTTTTTTGAGAAAATATTTTTTTAAACCAACTATATTTCATGTTCATTTCGTTACACAAAAACTACTTATATTTACGACAAATTCAACATGACCTACTTTAAAGATCTGTCTTTGAAGAACAGGTTTCATTAAGGACCTACCTTCAATATTGTAGTTGTAGAAAGAAGGGATCAAGTCTGAATTTTTGAAATTTTCGAAAATTCAGAGATTTTCAGAAAATGGGATCTGCAGTATTTTTAACGCCCTTTCTCTCTGCCCGAGAAAAAATTAATACAATAATTTAGAACCATTTGTGAGAAAAAATTAAAAAGTTAAGGCTTCGTATAAAGTATCCTTACATCTCAAAAACTCCATTCCAAATTCTCAGGACCTCGAGTTCGGCCGGATCGATTGGTGAATATCAATTTAGGATAAAACAGTATAAAGGGTTTTGACGTTTTTGGCGGTTGACGAATGTTGACTACAGACGGACGGACCGACACAGACCTACAGAAGTTTTACTTTAAATTAATTTTTCTGTATCAAATACCTACAAAACTGAATTCTGAATACAGAATGTGATAGAGAAAGTTATTCACATCAACTAGGAACACTATTTTTGATGTAAGAATCTCGCAATTCGATTTCTCTGACAAAAACTTCCACTTTCCGCTCGAAATTACAGTACTTTTTTCTTTACCCATATGTAGTAGGCAAGACAATAAATGCGAAGACAAAATAAACTTAATTTCTGATTAAATTCTAGTTCAATAAAAATTGCTTAAAACGCACAATATACATGTCGTAATATCTTATTACAATAGATTGGTTACCATATTCGGCCCAACGGCCTCATTTGGCAATTTTCCAATCTCGAAATAAGATAATTTACGACGCCGATATCGTAAATAACTATTGCCGGAGACGTTGGCAAAAAACACGATTATGTGATACTCAGTAACGTGCAGAAAAGGTTTAATTCTTTAAGACAAATGCCATACCATAATATTTATATAAATTACACCATTCTACCTTGGTGTTCTGAAGTCAAGAACCTACGTGTAGTTATCGTCAACACTCTCAGCTGGAACTCGCAAGTAGATTAAACCTGCCGTAAAGTTTTTGCTTCAATGCATTCACTGAAACGCCTGCGAGCACTTTTACCAGGTAGCACACGGGAGGCTCTCATCAAATCACTGATCATGCCACATTTCGACTACTGTGACTTTCTTCTGACCAACATGACATTCAAATTACAACGTAAACTTCAAGTAGCCCAGAACGCATGCGTACGTTTTATTTTTGATCTAAGAAAATACGACCATGTATCGGAATTTTTTGACAGAATTCGTATGCTTACTCTAGACAAAAGACGGTTACTCCGCTCTCTACTTTTTCTTTATAAAGTTGTAACCGGTTCTCATGCAACACGCCTCATAAGTAACTTCAATCCTCTGGAACTAAATCGAGCTCGTGAATCAGCTCTGCTTTGTGTACCACGTCACAACACGACTTCATTCAGTAAATCATTCACCATTACAGCAATCCGAGCATGGAATAAATTACCAGTGAGACTAAAACATTCAAATACTTTCGGTAAATTCAAAACTGAATTAACCACATGGGTAAGGAATAACGACATATAGAACGGCGTTAACGTCTTCTTCAATCTCCAGACTTCTCCCGCTTCCAAGCGCCCGTTCTCCGCCCCCGTTAAACTCCCTCTATTTTCCCCCTCTCTATTTTCAATATTCTACTCCATACCTTATTGCTCTATCCTCATCTCCCATTCCCTCTCACACCTAAATTATTAGCATTACTATTTTTCTGTGTACCCTAATGCAAATGTTAATAAAATGTACAAAATTATTAGTGACGTTCCAGATAAAATATACTTGTAGCTATCTTTGTACCATCATCATGATATTTATTACAATATATTGGTATAAACAAAATTGATGTCAAGATACCAGCACTCTTTGTATTGTTCGTTAATACTGCCAGTATTGTCTTTAAAATTACGGTTATTATTTTCTTATAATGTATTCTGATTCTCGGTGTTAAAATTATTGTATATTTATGAAAAGTGCTACTGTAAACCAAACGTAGCTTTCTGTAATGTTCCTCAAATAACTTCACTTTTTTTGCCTACTTCTTCTTCGTCCATTTCTTCGCTTCTTTTCTTTTCCCTTTCCCTCACAAATTTTATCATTTTTACTTTTTGACCCCTTCCCCTGAATGTCTTTTCTTTTCTCTTTCACGAAACTTTCCTTTCACTACTATGAACAACTTACTCAGTACTATTAATGTTTGGCCCTAAGCCGCCATCCTCATTGAGGTTTTTCTGGGTTTACTCAATCGCTTAAGGCGTACGCCGGGATGGTTCCTTGTCTTGCATTCCCCGACGTAAATGTACAGGTTGTCCCCCTCTCAGTCTCTCTTCTTTCTCCTCATGTTTTTCCTCTTCATTTTCATTTATGTTTCCTTTCTCTTATTTTTTCTTCTCTTCCACTTTCCTCCATAAATTGATGATGTTTGGCCCTAAGCCACAATCCTGATTGAGGTTTTCTGGGTTTACTCAATCGCTTAAGGCGTATGCCGGGATGGTCCCTAGATTTGTTCTCCCAGACGTAAATGTACAGCTTGTTCTCCCCTCTTAAAATGTTACTACTCTAAATGTATGTAAATTCAGTGGTTAGGCGGAAGAGCAGTCCCTATGGCCTGAGCCTCGCTATTAATAAAGATATTATTATTATTATTATTATTATTATTATTATTATTATTATTATACCCTTGTTACACATTATCATGACAACAATGCTTGAGAGATTACCTACATTCGGAGGGGATTTACAAAATGTGTAGTCAGTACGTCGGCAGAAAGAACATGTTTAAGCCTACTTTACTACAGTAGTACAGAATGGCAACTTTAAGGATTAAGCATACAAAATACGTTGAATCTATCTCGATCGAAATGTTTTTTTATTGGGTTATTTTCCAACCTATCTTCTTTCGAATTTACGTGCTGGTTCCTAAAATACTATTCAAAAAAAGTATTTTGCAAAAGAAGATAAATATTGTATTTTAATCTAACTTCGTTTCTTTACTTAATACTCACCAATTTTAGTGATAAAATGCAAAAATGTTTAATTTCTTCATTTGCTTTCAAAAGGTGGACATAATGTCATCGAGAAACGTGAGAAAGAATGTAGACCGTTGCAACAGTGCATTCGTACTCTAAATTATCTCGCTTCAATTCGCAGGATTGCTAAGAAGAGAAAACCCTCTGGGAGGCATTTAACGATCACCTTGTTGCAAACGTAAAGAGGTCTTTAACACCGCCACATTCAACGCAGAAGTTCACGCAGGTGTGTCAAATAGATTGGAAACTGAACCGCTAGAGTCACTGATACCGCACACATGCGTGCGCAGCAGCGGCGAGCGGCCGCCAATGCAAATACACGATAGGGAGAAACAAAAAAACAGCTTTACGTCATCGAAAGACATGTGCACACCACAACCATTTAACGAGAGATTACACGTTCGGCCTTCCAGTCCCCAGACAGCTGCGCCGGGCGATACCCACCCTTGTCGATGCCAAGAACTCGACCGGCCACACAGTCTACGCGCGCCGGTAGCGTTGAAGTTGGTGAAATTGACGCCGCCAGGTTGGTCTCGCAGTTTTCTTTCACCGTCCCGGATATCAGAACAGGCGTTACGGTGTTGTGAAGGTCGAGCTTCGTCGATACTCACTGACGAGATAACAGTGTTCCAAGAAGGTCGTGATCTCTCTTTGTTTAGGAGCAACCACTGCACTTGTTTGAACCCAGGGAGACCCCAGCTGCTGGTCTCTATATAAATTGCCCAGACCTCGATCGCAGCCTTCTCTCAGGAGTCACTGAGCGTGTCGGGGCAGAAGTGACTTCGGCTTCCACATGACAAAGTTTACTATTGATGTCTCCAAGCTTCCTGACCCGAAGGCCAAACTCGGTAAGCATTCATTTGAGTTTGTGGGGAACAACCCAACTAACAACGTCCGTCATTTGATTTATTATTATTATTATTATTATATTATTATTATATTATTATTAATTATTATTATTATTGATTATTATTAATTATTATTAAATTTCAAGGACTATTCAGTCCTGCTCCATTAGCAATTTTTTAAATAAATATGTTTGGGAAAAATCGTTCACCACTCAGGAGTATTATGGGTAAAAAATACCCAGCAAATTTTAGCTTAAAGAAAGAATACTGTGTGTACTATTACACATCAAGGCACTTCTAAGGATAAACTCAATATTATTAAGGAAGCTTTATTTCCAATTTCATTTATTCTGAGTTTCATTCCAAAGATTTTTTGTGTTGATGCATTTTAGTTGAAAATAAAAACTTTGGATATACCCAAAATGATAGTCTGTCCAAAAACCTTTTCCATACTTAACACACTTGAACCGTTTTTTTCTGAAAATGTTCTCGTTAAATGGACGGTTTACTTTCAAAAATTGAAGAAGAAGAAGACATTTAAATACACTACTACAAAAAATATGTTTATCTTGACGGATGTTAAGTATAATTAATTTCCAGAAGGGGGTTCGTAGCGTAATGATCTGATACGCCTTCTACCGTTGGGAACTGAGTTCGTACCACAGAGATTACTTGTGGAAATTGTGCAGAACAGAGAAGAGTCTTCTGCAGTGATTTTCGGGATCACTCGTTTCCCCTGCCTCTCATTCTACTATTTCTTTATCATTAACCTCATCGTCGTTATTACTATCATCTACTCAATAGAGTATCTCTATAATTTAGAAATTAAAGGGCCTCTAAACAGAAACATTAAAACCTGTCACAATTGTCCCTCTTAAAACAACTCTTTACATATTGACATGCGACAAATACTTTATGTCAATACACAGTATTAAAAGTAAAATGAGTTACTACGACGATTTTTAACGAATTTCCAGTTAATTAATCCGATTAATTATAATTCTTTAAAATTATTTTAAAAACATTCATTAGATTTTAAAAACATTGATTGATTCTACTTTGAAATTATTGCAAAATTAATGTGCATGCGTTTTCAATGGCAATTCTTCCAAAAATACAAGAACCAACATGTACAATAAAAATATCAACACATTCCTACACATCAGATCTTTTAGAAAAAAATAATCAAAATCACGTATTAAATATTTCTGAATCTTCATTTTATGCACAATCTTCTGCATGCACAAATAGATAAATAAAGATAGGTAAATAGGACATCCTGTCTAAATATGTTTTCTGTTACATTTTGTAAATGTCATCATGCTATCATATTATCGATGTATTAACTACGAAATATTGGAATACAAATTAATAACAATTTTTTAGAAGAGAAAAATAGATTCGGAAAAACACATTTTGATAATTCAAGATGGGCGAGACATTTTCAGTGTGACCAAATTTTCAGGGAAATTGCAAGTAACGTTCATCAATAAGACTGCTGGCTCCGCGAAAATGTTTTACAGATTACCAATCATTATCATTTGCCAACGATATGGTCCACATTCATAAAAATGACTTCTTATAATTAAAGAGTCTGAGTGCATACTTTTTTATGTACAGTCTAGAACATAAAATCAACGTAACATACGTAATATTTCAGTCAATGTGTATATGGAATTAATTCATTACTCTTTGTGAGAACCGTTCTGCGTTCTCACTAATGCAATATCTTCACCAGCGCCATAAAAAGAGCACGCATATACTTCAATCATACATCTCAGTTTCCTTAGATGATTGGAGCAACAGTATGCAATAATTCTCGACAAAATGAGTTGGTATGTTAGTCATTCGTAACTGCGATATTACGCAATCATTACATTACAATTATTACTTTCATTAGAATTTCAATATAGCTATTTCTCTCATAAGACATCACACAGATATAATAGCGGTATGAAAATTTCGTGCATAGAACTACAAAGTTTGCACTTAGCCTAAACTAAAATTATATTTTATTGAAGGATTTGACTCGTAGGAAACAGTCGTAAATTAAACCACAAAATCACGATTTCAATCACCGGCCTGTAAAAATATGTGCCATTACAATCTTCGGCCTGCGAAAACCAATGAAATCGAGGTTTAAGATAAATTCAATATTTTGTTAGAAATGTTTCATTTTCTCTCGATATACTTAAACTCGCAAATAGCTTTTATTGCTACGAGAATATGAGAAATAGAAAAAAGTGTTAATAACTAATAATAAATAAATAATGAAAGTGTTATATTTTAATCTGAGGTTCTTAATTTTATCAACTGCTGTTTCTTTTAGATTTGAAAATCGATTCAGAAAATATTTTAGTGGTATATATAGTTAATGCTTACCAAAATATAATAAATTAATGCTTATCAAAATTAAGCATACTTTTATTGCAAAATTAGGAATTACCAAACATACCCAAAATACCAATACTACAGCAGTAGAAAGTATATCGTGTTCGAAAATAACCGAGAAATGAATGAAGTTGCACGAATTTAGAAACCAACAACCCAACCCTCGATTACAACACTTGCACGTCATTCCGGAGAAGAGCACAATAAACGCCCTCGCGCTTGAAATACAATGTCCCGTGTGATAACGGGAAATCTTGCACTAAGTAAGTGAGAAACGTGAGCAAACACACTCGGCTTGTTTTCTCGTTTGGCCATTCGCCACTTCAAACCGAGCCGGGAATTTGACGCCAGTTCGTTCTCCGGTCGCAAAAGAGATGGAAACGCTCGGCAGAATCGCAGGTAGGTTGGATCTCGAGGGCGCGGGGGAGCAAAAACGTCCTCTCGCCGCCCGCCTCGTCGGCGTCATGCCACCGCCGTCCGCCATTATCGCCCCACCATCGCCGGCGCCGGTTCCGCCGATGACGCCTGATTAACGCCAGTCTCTTGTGGACCGGACTCCTGAAAGGGGACAGATCCTGCCTTCCACTCCGGTTCTTTGGAGCAGCCTCGTGCGAAATACGCGATATATAACTTAATTGATGCAATAGGTGGGTTAGTAATATAACAAATAGATCATTTTTGAGATTTTGAAAATTTCCTTTTTTTGAAAATTTTGAGAATTTGTTTTGGCGGAAGACGTTCTGCGAAAGTGAATGAGTGGAAGTGACGGAACAAATTATATTTCCGCGCTCGGAGAGCGTCCTCTCTTATTGCCGCCCGGTGTCGACACATTGCGAGAAAGATGGAGGCGGCGGCGGGTGGCGGCGGTGGCGGCGGCGCGGCGGCGGAGGCAGCGCGAGGTAAGGGAACGCGTGGCGTGGCACTGCCGTCTGTCGCCAGCTCTGGGGTATTACTTGTACGTTGAGAAGTACTTGCGGCGAAGGCCCTCTGCCCAGCCGGCGGGAGCACCGCCCAAGGCAGGTGGGTGTGTCTGCGCGGCGCGGCGCGGCGCGGATCGGCGCGGAGCGGCCTAGTCTCGCCTCCGCCACGGTGAGAAGGTGCCACTCCTTGCTGTTTTATCTTATTTTATTTATTTACTACCTGAAGTTACCGATGCTGCCTGGATATTTATTAATCGAAACACAGCCAGGAAAAGGACTGAATTTTATTTACGATTACTACATCTATCCTGTCCCGCCCTGCATCACCCTAGGCTTGACTCATTACACCCGCTCAGATCACCTGCTCAGATTTTCTCCCTCCGTCAGAGCCGTATCTTACCCGTTCTGCCCCTTCTTCATCGATGGTTTCACCTCCGTTGCTACGGTCAGCTACAAGCATACGTATTGTTGCACACTCCTGGCAAACGTCTAGTATCCAATTTGAGAGTCAATTGTTCAAAGTCTAATTACGCCATTGAAATGAATTAAAATGTTTCTAAGGTGAACTTAAATAAATAATTTAAAAAATAGGTTTAATGAGATTTTTGAAACGATTTTTTTCTTTAGTAAATTTCTTCATCTTTGCCGTAACATACATATACAAGAAACTGAAAGAGTGTCTTTAAATTTTGCTTTAAAAACTGCGAAAAGGTTATGAGGATACTTTTTACGAAATTTTACGCAGAGAAACTTTTCTCTTCTTTTGATACTCAAGTGTGGTCAGAAGTTCATTAGACTTGAATTATTTCACTGTAGATTTCAAAGAAGGGACAAACAAGCAAACGTTATTCTTGAAATAATAGAAAATATTATCTTGAAAAACTGTAGTCTAGATTATGCCCGCCTGCAAACTCCATCTTTCAGTGAAAACCCCATCAAAATTTGCGTAGCCACCCCGGTGATTGGCCCGGTCAAACAGAATTACAGTCAGACGAAAATCGTAAAAACAAATTAATTGTTTATTTATTTAATCTAAATAATCATATTAGATTCAAAAGAGTTGTATTAAAACACACACACACACACACACATATATATATAATGATGTACGGGACCTTAATCTTCATCTACTAAGAGTCATAGAGTGATGATAGCAATGATGAGGTTAATGAAGACAGTGACATTTACAAAACACATTTTAAAACATGTTTTCAGTTGTAATACCCTAGTAAAGTGTCCGAGTAAAGTGTCCGTGTAAGACTATACTTTCCGGCAACAAAAAATTAAGTTTATTATATCACTGTACATAGCCATCTATTTTTGTATGTCACATGATTTATTACATTGTTTTCCAATGTTCTGTGATAATTTGACAACCACAAGTTGTAACCCCTCGTTTTGTTTAAATTTTCGTACAGCAGAATAGTTCATATAGCTGCTTAGAAATCTCATGTCTCTCAGTGCTGTAAACAAACAGTATCGTCGGAAGGCAGCGTCGGTAGTCACTAGCAGTGCGTTCATTGTCGCAATTAATCTAGATTGAAGTCAAGTGATGTCAAACAAATCGCCAAGAATAATGTCACAAGGGACCAAGAACATACTTTATTATCATATACTATTGTTGATTGTTGAACTTCATTTCCATACTTTAAATAAGCAGACAGTAATTAATATATATATATATATATATATATATATATATATATATATATATATATATACACAATTGAAACACAAATTATGTAAACATCTCGATGTTCAAATAAGCAAGTAGCATTTTATAGCTTATATTAATTTAGTAATTTTGTACTGTTATTATTTGGTAGAAACAATTCAGAATCCAAACCATATCTATTTACCTGAACTATGTTATTCTATTAATAAATACAATTGCAGGGCAGGATGTTGAGCAGCCGGGAGATGGATCACTTGATTTCGAAGACGCTGTGGCCAAAACAGGTAAATGGCGCAAATGAGGCCAAATATTTTAAGGATTTATTTGAATGGACAGTATGTGTGCACGAGAGTTTTGTGTTGTGCCGCAGGCCAAGGGTGGTTCCACTACAAGCTGCAGCTCATCTGTGGGCTGGGCCTCATGGCGACGCTTGTGGAGATGTTGAGCACTGGCTACGCGCTGCCCGCGGCGCAGTGTGACCTGGAGATCAGCACCGCCGACAAAGGAATCATCAACGCCGTGTGCTACGTGGGTAAGTTGGCACTCTCATACCTTGGCCCATTCATAAAGAAACTAGGAAGTTTTGTCATATTTGTAACGTCTTTACATTATGCACTATAAATCTCGTGACTTTCGACGCTAGGATCTCATAACGATCAAGTTCGAAAAGATGTGTAATGTGAGGGCGGCGCACTTTATGTACTAAAACCAAATAACGTTGAAAAGCGGCAAATTGAAGACATAGATCATTACAATATATATCAATAGCTGTGACCAAGTGCAATTCACACATGAGATATTAATTGATCATGCTTTACAATAAAAGCGTGGTTAGAATTTATCACTGCTTGTTACGAGAAATTTGCATTTTCTGTTTGTTGTCTGGATTTGTTGGTGCTGTAGGTTCCGTTTGGATGGTCATCTGCACCGTAATGGAATTAGCATTTCGTTGACAGTAATGTCTGTTTCAGGATGGTTATGCTTTTTCAAATTTCCATTGAATTTCTCCCACAAGTCCCTCAAAGCGGCAAATGTATCATTCCGATGTCTTGCATACTTGGAGGTCTTGTCATCAAATGGTAGAAAAAAGTAAGCACTTGGAATGTTTGAGACTCATTGCTGCTCTAAATATAGGTGGGCCATAAAAAATGTTCCACAGTGCTGCTCGTATGCACCCCCCCGCCTCCGTCACCGAAGTTGAGAGTCTCCTTCCTACGGACTTCGAGGTAGTGACAAAATGAAAATCGCCAAACAGTCGCACAGCAATACAAGGCGACCTGTTTTTGATAACCAACCGACGTTATAAACAAAAGAATAACGTAATTTCTATTGCTAATCAAAATAGAAATGGGGAACCGTTGTTTTTTACCGGTAGAGAACAGTGTCCTTCGGACACTAATTGCCCGATTACGTTACTTTAAAACGAAATAAACATTTTCACTACTGATTATGTTGATCAAATTTAGTGAAACGTCGTACCTAAATGCTCCAATTAATAAGAAATGAAGTCCCAAAGGCGCAAATACAGAATCATTTTAGTTTACTTTATATGACACTAAATATAACCCACAGTGTCCAACAGACACTGGTTGCCCGGATAAGGGTTAAACAACAGCCTCTTCCAGCCTCAAGACTTCCAGAGCGCTGGGGGTCCAAGCTCTCCAAAAAATATAGAATAATCGCATTTAATTTAAAGTAAGTAGATAATGATCACACACGTCGGGGAAACATTACAATTTTATGTCTTTTGGAAGTCATCAGTGTCAAGCAAACAAATTTTACATTTACAGTATAAAAATGCCATAAATAATTTAATAAATATTTCCCATTTCATTGAGAAGAAAATATTTGAAAATTTCGAGTCCTCAGCGTTCTTAAAGAATGTCTAAACCTCACTTGCCAAGCTCCACCGAAAGAAAATTGGCTAAGAGTGGCTCTGACTTCGACGTACTGCAGTGTCAGGACAAAGCCTGACCCAGGCTACAAAGTCATCGGAGGGAAAGAAAGGAAGAAAAACGAGAGCGGATTGCTTCACACTCTTAACGCTCTTTTAGCTCAGCCACAGGAGGTGCCACAGGAGCTTCGTAGCATCAAGGTCGCGGCCACGGCAACCAATTGCTAGGGAGTGCACGATCAAGTGCCGCGCCAAGTACCGTTTCTCTTGTAACAAAATCATACATTTTGTAAACATCATAAACCAATGGTTCTCATGTTTGTTGCACGAACGTTTGGAACTGAAGACAACATTGTGCCATTAAATAAATGTCACTGTATAGTTTGTTTTGTTAACCATAAAACCATGGAATCCTGTTTTCATTTAAACACTTTTTCAAAATTCTTTTAGAACTTTCAAACGAAATGTAGTGTATAATATAAGTCTCGTCGCATTATCCTCTTATTTTATCTGAACAGCTACAGTAATTAATGAAATCCTTTAGCTTGTTGACATTTGTGGTAATTTTATTGAATGACATTAGTGCTTTGAATGCGCTAGCTGAGAGTTTTTGTTGAGAAGTGAAGAAAAATTTAATGAACGATTTAAAATTCCCATTATCATCTGGAGATTTTACAAGGTCTCTATTTATTCTATAACACGACAGAGGAGCCCCCAGAAAAACCCTTGTTTTATTTTTTCATTCAGAATTTGTATATGAGTAGATATCATCAGATATCTTTAATATGCCTTAACTTATTCTTAAAGATAATCATTCGATTCTGTTTTGTACGAATAAAAATGTCAAAACATGTTATTAAGTAAAAAATCATTCACCGAATTAAAATCTTCAAATACATCTGAAGAAGAAAGAGCAGTACTGTGAAATTCCTTTTAAATAAGCATCTGTTTTGTCACTTAAAGAGTAAGATCTCGTATAACAGGATGGGGTGAGGTTGTGGAGTTAGAATGGGAAAAGATGCCTAAGATGAAAATTATGAAATGTATAAAATGCACCCATATTATTATATAAATCTGATCTTGCACATACTATCTAAATGTAAGGAGAATGCATGTAAGGTTTTGTTGATTGATAATAGCGAGTAGTGTTACAGTAACGTTTATAGATGAATTATAATGAATGATAAGTATGATATACATGTAATAAGTATAAGTATAATCAGTAAAAAGTGCATTAAGTATGGTCAATGATAAGTATTTAATGATTAAAGTGAATAAGGGTAATCGTTCCAAAAAACGTTTGGTCACATTTGTTGATATTTTCTTCTGAAAGTCAACCAATCATTGTCATTTTACTCACAAAAGAGTCAATCTGTGTTGGAAGTGCTTTGTATTGTGGTAAAGTATAATAAGAAAATAAGATTTGACGTATTTTGCAAGTAAAACTATTTAAATTATTCGTGTATTAATATAAATCTCTGTAGCGAGTTAGCTTTAGTTATTATATAATCTGAACAATTGGTGGAATAAGGCAAGATGCATTTAACTGCAATTGAGTACAATTCTATGGTAGTCATTTACAAAATAAATGAACATCAATATTGTTATATCAATAAATCGCTATAGGTTATACGTATATATTGCTAACGATCGACAAAAATTCCAGAACTGCCGATTATTTACGAGTTATGGTCTTCCTTGTTTCAGATATTTCGTCAATAGTTTAGTCCTTCAAATGATACGGTATCAGAGTTACATATTCACGAGGTTTATTACAATTCTGCAATAGTGCAATATTGTGTTTTTTCTGTGAAATAAAGGTGCCTTAAAAAAAGATGTGTCAAAAATTTTTGGAAATGCTTGGATTTCCGCAAGTTCATCTGAAAACAAATTGGCAACAAAAACGAAACTTAATCGGTGATTTTTTGACGCGCAGAAGCGATTATATATGAGCTACGTAACAATGCCATCCCCGACCTTTGAGGTTCCAATCTGACCCATTCAGCTGGTGGCTTCTGGCACATGAATCAGCCTGCGCTTCGATTGCGTAGCACAAAGTTGATAAGAGCGTGACGTAGCGAACCAGAAGCTCCATGACAAGAAGAAAAGAACCCCTCCAGCTTTATTCGACGTTCGCGCTTAAAAAGTGCGCTCTGTGGATTAAAAAATGCTTGGTGGCTCTTCTATTGGCCGAATTTCTTTGTACTGCTTCATACTTCAACTACTAATTGAGCGTCATTCGTTGAATTGCAAAAATGGTTTATCTGAAATTTCCTAAGATGTTCGTAATAATCAAATTCTTATAAAAGCCGTGGTGCTAAAATGACATCATTTGTACGCGTTTTCCTCTATCGTCACTTATTTCTGAGTGATAAACAACTTACGCAGATTCGGCTACAAACACACCACGTTGCATTAAGTTTTCTAATTAAAAGAAATGTAATAGGAATTTGCCAACTCATGCGTAACCCTCATCTCAGAAGCTATGATTCTTTTTCTTTTCAAGTGGAAATATTCAGTACCGTTTTTAATTTCCTTAAAATAGTTTAAAAGCATATTACACAAGGAAACGTCATTATCCCCAACTGGATTGATCAGTCTCGGCGACCTCGAATTTTCTGCCCACTGCACTCAGCTGTTAAATTCTTGGAACCCTCTCACCGAGCTACCAGTAGTTTTTCTCAAAGGTCTAAAAGGTCAATTTTTTGGTGAATTTCACGGCGTGATTGCTGATACCCGGTGAAGTAATTTCACGATGAAATTCACGAGGATGACAGTTCTTTACTCATGTCCTCTGGTATAGATAGACTAGTATGCGGTGAATGAACCTAATTTACTTCTGAAAGAAATTGCAATTGGAGGTGAATCAGCAAGAATCTAACGTGTTTTACTACATACGAGGGACGGAGTATCTCCGAGAGATGCTGAAGTGCAAACAATATCTGATCTTACAAACTTAATGAGGTCGTGATGGTTCATCATGTAACTCCCTTGTTGTATCTCAGGCTGCAAATTAACATAGCTCTTTATTTGATTAAAACTGCAAGTTAAACAAAAACTGTTCCTACTTGAGTCATAGCCTCTGCCAAATAAAAAAGAATTGCCGCATGGGTCACTCTGATGTAACTGTCTTGTCACAAAATTATGTTAATGAATGGTCATTGCGAATTAGTTCTGAACTTTCCAAATGATAAAATAATGTCACGCGCATCTCGATATCTCTACTGAAATTATAAACGAAACATAGTGCAAATACAACTGAAACGTTTTAAAATTAAATGTTTGTTTACCATTGGTCATGCATTTGAATAATAAATTAATTTGAAAAATTACATAATTATCAGTGACTAGAGAAGTTTCTCATGGATAACTCTCCATTAATATAGTGTATGCGAGGGTTGCCTTTTATATTTCAGTATTAGAGAACAAAAACAAATATTAATCATCGAAAATAACTTTATTGGTTTTTAAAATATTTCCCATGAAGATCTATACACTTTTGAATGCGTTTGATTAAATTGTCAAAGCACTTTTGACCTCTCAGTTTGTTTTTTACGTACGGGAAAAAATAGAAGTCATTCGGTGCCAAGTCAGGTCTATACGGTGGATAACTCATCAAATCGATGTTTTGGGGACTCAAAAATGCAGGTGTTTGAGGCGGTGTGTGAGAGATCGCATTGTCGTGGTGAAGAGTGATCCGTCTTCGGCGGTTGGTTTCCTGATTTCTTGGATGACAGCTGGCAAACAAATCGTTGTGTACCACTCAGAATTGACTGTTCTGTGTTGTTCTAGTGGTACGGTTGCGACATGTCCAGTTTTTTCGAAAAAACAGGCGACCATCTGTTTGGAAGTGCTTCGTTCGCGAACAACTTTTGTTTGATTTTGCTCATCTTGAAACACCCATAGAGTCGACTGCTGTTTACTTTCGGGCTCATACGCGTAAATTCACCTTTCACGATGTCATAGACGTGTTTCAAAGCACCGCGATCGTATTTCCTTCGACCAATAGATACGAGCCTTTTTTTGAGCGATTGACAAATTGTGTGAGATCCAACGCGAACAAATTTTTTTGACAGTCAAATGTTCATGCAATTCGGGTTTTATGGTCGAAAATTTGAAAGTTCTTATTCCAGTTGGCGGAATGACAAAGCGATGGGAGCCCCAGCACAAATTTGCCAACTTTTGTGAAATGAATGCGAATCATTTTTACATAATAATCAATCGTTTTTATTGAAAATCAAATGCTGGGTGTCTGTGTGTGTATTAAGATACTATTTAACAAGTAAATTGAAAATTAGATAAGTGTACTATATATACAAAATGTGGTATCTCGCTGCTAATTTAAATTCTAAATGATGATTGGATGAAAAGCGGGAAATTGTTTGTCGTATAAGACTAACCAATAGGAATGTTGTTTCAATAATGACATGATGTCCACAAACTTCAATAGATATAAAACGTTTAAACCATACACAGAATCTGAAATTGTATTTTTAATAAATTAAAATACCAATGAAATCATGAATTAAATTCTTAAAATGAAGTTCTACCGACCACTCCCCCAATTTACTTTGACGTGTGAGAGTAAAAGTAATTAAAGAGCTTGGGATATTAGCAAGATAAACCTTACCAGTCGCAGCAAGCATCCCGCTATTCGTTAATGTTAATTACTAGACTTTTGTCAAAGTGTGTCTCTTGTCGAAGGTAATCCACACTGATCAAAACCCAGATATTAGCATTTACGAATAGCAGAATGGTTGAATGGCTGGCGTGTCTTATTGTCACTGCCTCTAGCCTTTCAATTGATCAGATGGATAATGTGTGGTTGAGGGCATCAACTGACGTCATATTCAGTGCCTCTGACCGAAGGAATCTAGGGTTTGAGTCCCGACTTTTCGACAATAGCTAATCAGCTATATAGAATACGGCCGCTGTCTGGACGAGAATTCCAGCTTTGATCGGTAGTTTTCCGTGGTTTCTCCGATCAGCACCAGGCGAATGCCGGAGCGGTACCGCAACAAATAGGCCATGGACCGCGCGCTTCCAACCCGCGGTAGATCGGGGCCGGCGTTAGCGTGGAAGATCATAGCCACCTCTCGCGATCAAAAACGTGCACTTCGCCATTGGGAGTAATGACCTTAACAGTTGACGTTTCCGAAATCTCTAAGGAATCAATATAATAGTCAACCAACATGTTGGTCGGTGCCGGATGTCGTCCTCTAGCGGCGGAAGAACTCAGCTACATCCCGTGATAAAACATGAACTACACTTACGGACTAACGACATGACCGGAAGCACGAAATAATGAATCAGTCATGTTCCACTTATACGAGTCTGATGCTCTTGGTCCTCGTCTAACTCTTGAGCCTGTGGGCGGGGGCGCTGCCCGGCTCGCGCCCCGGCCCCCCGTGCGAGCGAGCGGGCGGGCGGCCGGGCGAGTGGCGGGCGAAGCAAAGCAGCGCGTGGGATGCTGCGCAGGGATGCTGTTCGGTTCGCACCTGTGGGGCTTCCTGGCGGACACGCGCGGCCGGCGCATGGTGCTGATGCTGACGCTGCTCATGGACTGCGTGTGCACGCTCGTGGCCGCCTTCGCGCACGCCGTCTGGCTGCTGCTCGTCGCGCGCTTCTTCAACGGATTCTTGTGAGTATTGAATTCACGATCATTTGTAAATGTACCTGTTGAATGAGCTTTATTACATTTTTAAATAATGAAAAAAGTAGTTCAATATTCTTTATTTATTAAAGAATTTTACAGTTCAATATGTACAGAATATACAGTTGACACCGACTAATATGTAAATCACGTTTTCATATTAAGGTAAAAGTCACTAGTTTTGTGCTCACAAACTTCTAAAACTAACTCCCCCCATTGATTATTAGATTTCGCATTTAAAAAGGATATTATTTTTTATAAAAATTAGTACATATTTGATTGGCTTACAAGTAGAGGAATGTTAATAATAATGATAACAAGCTTTTATTTTTATTATAAAATATTATCGCAATTACTGTATCTATACAATTGTATTCTACAAAACTGCAATATATAAATTTCCTGATGCAACGTGACTACTGGAGTATCTGTCATTTCCCAACCGAAGATAAATAGTGGTATTAGAGTGGATGAGGCTACTGTTGCTATGCCTGTATTAATTCCTAGAAACTCCTAGCAGTCTCATTGGGAAGATGACTAATCGGCACTATACCACTGCCTTTGTTTTTATGCTCCGTATCTTATTAATCGACACTTACATACGTTTTTTTGATATTTTATAAAAGGCAGCTCATACGTGTTTCACAACATACGCAGATGTATAATCTAAAGAACATTCATTCCGCCAACGTCATGCTAGCGCTACTATCACACATAGGTCAACAGGCAGCGCTGTATCTGGCCAACCCTCTTCCATAGGCATTCGGTGTTCCGAAACAAATTTGTCATTTTCTATTATCTAATATTCATTCGTTTAAAATATTGCTCATGAGTTTTTCAATATTTTTTGTTACATTAAATGTATTAAATAATATTTGTCCACTATCCAACGTCATTTCAAAATTGAATACATTAACGGTAACCTTAACAATTGAAATACTCAAAAATGAAAATTTTTAATTACAAACAAATAAATAAAAACGTTAATAAATTACGTTAAAATTAGACAAATAATAGTTTATTTTCACCATGTATCTCTTACTACAGTGTCCATTTCTTATATGTAAAACAGCCAAATTCACTTGGTAGAGGACGACCACTTCGCAAGTCCATTACTTTCCACACTTTCATCTTCCATAAAAATACTTCACCGCAGTCGTCTCTACCAACAAACCTGAGATGTAGAGCGTCGCTAATAGACTTTGGGAGTAAGTGTGTGTGTGTGCACAGCATCTGCGGGTCGGCGGCGGTGCTGTTCGCCTACCTGGGCGAGTTCCACTCGGACGCCACGCGCGCCCGCGCCATCGTCTGGCTCGGCATCTTCGTCGCCTTCGCCACCATCCTGCTGCCTGGTGAGTGCCACGAATCCTCCGCCTGGCAGGATTGCGTTGCTTTGCAGCCGACTGAATCGAATTGAATTGGGTTTGTGGGAGGAATTGGGTTCTTGATTGGGATATTCTGAGGCTTTCTACGGACCGATCTACGATCCGCTTGCTGCAACTCATCTCCGGTCCCCAACACTTTTGACTGTAAGAATCCTTTACAACAAGGATTTTGCGAGTTTTAGCAAACGTGCGCATGCACACAACAATTCTGTTGCCCCAGAAAGAGTGTATGAGCTAAAACTCCCGATATCGTTCGTTGAAAGGAAGGGAGTAAATTGGGTGTTACATTGCTTCTGATGATTTTGTGCGGGACAACGCTCTCCCTTCCCATCGGAGGCAGCCCGTTAGCCCATCTCCCTCGGCCACTGGTAGAGTTGTCCTGAGGAGGTAAGTGTAGGCTCTAAGTAGCTGGTTTGAAGTAGGGTGGAGTCTGAACATAGTCACCTTCGCCATTATCCTGCAGTTAAGTCACCCAGCGAGCGAGATCTATGGAACTTAGTAATGTGAATTGGTTTGGACTCGATTGGGTTTGTGGTTCTTGAGCGGAGTGCTCTTCAAACTCTTTCTTAATACTGTACTGTTAAATTGGTTTAATGCAACTACAGAATCGAAAAACCACTTTTAACTGCTGTCATACGCCAAGGATTTAACAGTCCGCCCGCCTTTAAGAAAAGTTGAAAGAAATGAGTTTTAATTGACGATGAGTACGAGTGAGAAGAATATTTCTTATTTATTCGATAATTATTTATAAAAATACGGTATTACGCATTGAACGACACACGATCGATTACACAATTAAAATACCAAGTTAGTAATAAACCTCGGCAATTACTAGGTTTACATGCTTTAACTGCGTGTGTTATTTTATGTTTATCGGCGTCATGACGTTCATGGCAAAAATAGCCGTTCTCGCAATCCGCCCTGCCCGGAATGTCTCAGGTCCCCTGCACCCTCCTCTATAACATTGATCCTGATATCTCTGGCAGGACGAGACTTTCCTCTTTCTCATTTGTTGGAGGTATCCAGTAGACCCGTCTCCCTTAGCCTTGGGTAAAGTCCCATAGCTACTTGGTGTCCTACCAAACTACACCGTAGGCTGTTATTGGTTGTAAATGGCCGGTTTGGGGCGGGGTTGTCCACGTCTGTCCAGGGAGGGATGTCGTTAGTACGGTGCATGGTGTTGGGTCTTTCACCATGTCTCATCACCCAATCGTCCATGTCTTAAGCAGGATTAAGCAGGACCTTCCTTTTTCTATGTACTTCGACGCAACTTCCCCCAGCCTCCACGCCACTAGGTCGGCAGGGAATGGAGGGTACAGTGGCAATGCATGAAAGAAGGAAATGCCCCTCCATGCCACAACTCGCAAGTAAACATTCACACCCAGGCAGAAGTCGAACCTATGACCTTTCTAACCGAGACCGCCAAGAAGCGATCACCTTAACGATCTCGGCAGACCGGGCCGGCACCTTAAGCAAGTGTTTCCTTTTCAAATGCCACACTTAACAAGAGTGACTCACAAAAAAAAGCACTTTGACCGAAGAGATAACAAAGCTACGCGTCTTTAAAGAAGTGACTTTCCTACTAAAAGTACCGTAAGAAATAGAAAATTAAGAACACTTTTTGTATAACTATAGAACAGCTTTCCTGTATTTTATGTGTCGGAGAGGGTTGTGAGAAAAGTTGTTCGTTCAACATAGTAGTGCCTTTTTTCATACGCGCGGTTAAGTAAAATCATTAATTACAAAAGGAAATATTGTTAGAAATAAATGAAAGTATTTAACTTCGGCATGAAACCTTCTCGAAAACTTATAATTGTAGAATAATATTAATAACAAAGCAATAGCAATATTTTGGAAATTTCGAATGACATTACCCACAAGAATCAAACGACGATCAATTTCATATGCAATAATTCTATATACTCAAATACTAAAACGGTAGTATTGAAATGCAGGCAGTATGCTCATCGCCAGTATGCTTATCCATACTTCTAGTGTTATAATACAGAATACGTAATACGCTAATGAAAAAAGACATTTTGAAAGAACTACCACACATAAACCCCTATACGTGGGCTGGATAGGGAATTAACCCCCCCCCTGATCCTGTATCAAACACATTTTTAAAGGAATACACGAAGTTCGCATATGGGATGGGGAAAATTACGGTATGAGGCGCACGTTCACTTCCCAACACACATTATCCTAAATTCACACATTTTACCATTGTATGGTAAAGGAAATAATCTCCACAAAAAGTTTAATAATTTTTACTAATTATTATTCAGAGTTAACGTTCGGGAAAACACTTTTCCCATCCTCAGTGGGTCTCTAGCAAGGAGGAGGAATGAAAACATTAACACAAGTTGAACACAAAAAATAAATACAGTGAATTTAATTAAAAAACAAACAAATAATATCAAATAAATACAAATTGAAAATATTTACTGCCCAAGCAACGTGGATCACCCAGTTTACCATTGCGTTAACTCGGAAACAATGGGTTTTAACCCATCAAATGGGATTTTCTTGTCCCTAAAGGACCATAAGTGACGTTTTTATACGGAAGACTCTACAATAATTTATTTTACGTTCCATTAAGAGTTTTGGAGATCACCCCTCACTTTGCAGCACAGGTTCTCATAAACGTTGGAACTTGAGTGACAGCGTGAGTCTACTTTCAGATTTAAACCAATGATAATTTACGAGGTGCGGAATGCCTCTCTATATTTGGACACACACGATCCCTGAGAGACGAATATTCAAAGAGTAAGTACCGACTGAGTTTACTTCAGAGCCTCGTTGTCGCTGTCTCTGCAGTGTCTCTTACCAGTTGGTCCTAGGGTCCCCGAGGGAGGTGTATTCCGACACTACGTACTCGTAGCTATACAGGTAGACCGAATTCGTCTACTGTCTGGAGGAGAATTCTAGCGACCGGCTGCACTGGCTGATCGCTAATTTTCTGTGATGTCTCCAATCAATACCACGTGAATGCCGGAGCATTACACTAAAGGGCCACGAACACTGGGCGATTTTTCCTTCCTCTTCCTTGCCCTATCCTCACCTCTTAGATGCACGTTCAGTTACATGCATAACACTACCAAACATGTCGAGAGCTTAGAGCAGGAGATTGCCAGCTGAGGCGGTGTCCCGTGAGGAAGATTCCTGAAGAGGGAAATCGCCCCAATCTGACGTATAGGCCGTCGACGGACCACACATTATTATAGATGAGGAACACTCCCACCTCCCGCGTCAAAACATTAACTGCGCTAATGATGACGTCGGCTGACGTGCGCGTAAACGAATGGGTTTGTGGCGGCGGCGCGCGCGCAGGTCTGGCGTGGCTGGTGATCCCGCTGGACTTCGAGGTGGCGCTGCCGTGGATCGAGTTCCGCTCGTGGCGCCTGTTCCTGCTGGTGTGCGCGCTGCCCGGGCTCACGTCGGCGCTGCTCATCCGCTGGCTGCTGCCGCGCAGCCCCAAGTTCTCGCTGCTGATCGGCGACCAGGGGGAGGCGCTGGACACGCTGCGCGACATCTACTCCGCCAACACGGGCAACAGCCCCGACTCCTACCCCGTAAGTGACCTATTCTCCGGGTCCTTTTCACCAAAAAGTATTTGAGGAAATTTTCGAAAGAAAAAAATTCTAACTTCGAGCGAAATTAGCGAGAACTACAGAAAAAATGTGTTTAACGAAGGAGTTGGATAGTAGTAAATTTAACATGAATGTAGTGAAAACATTTGTTTTGCCTAAGAAGATATGTCAGACAATACACTAGAATGTCTTAAATCATAAGATATAACTTTGAACACAATTAACAAGCAACTCTGTTTTACTTCAAGTAAGATTTGCTTAACGAACGAGTTCCGCAGCCCAAGTTTGTTATATGATCAAAAGTGCAGTAAAATCGCATTTTTTTCTGGAAAGTACTAAAATTTCTTAAAGAAAAAATAGATAAATATTTATACAAAAAGTAGATAATACTAATGCAATTGGCGAACAAAGCTGCAAAATACGCATCGAGTGATGTGTTTAACGATCGAGATCGATAGGATCAATTTGCTAATTTATGATGTTAAGTGCGTCATACGTTTTCTGTTCCCTACAATTTGAAAGCAAAGAAATAGTTTTCATTGTGAAAGGTGTGTTTTTGTTTTCAAAATTATTAATATTTACGCTTGCAGCTGTTGCAAATCAGAAAATATTAGTTGTATAATTACATTGGTGTTACCAAAAAATAAATTTCTGAATTATTCGAACAGAAAAAAATTCGAGCCAAAAATTCAATTAAAACAAAACTGAGCAAAAAAAATCATCGTTCAAAAAGTATGTATTGACCAGGTGCACAAAAATTAAAATTATTCAAGAGCTGAAAAGTGCAAATGTCTGATAAAAAGCTATTTTCGATGATGGATGGTTCCCTCTGCAAGACGGCGAACGCTTGATGGAACAGCGGGTCGAGGAGCTCGCGTCGACTCGGCAAGGTCGACACATGTAACATGCAAGCGCCCCTTTTGCTAATCGCCACGTGCCACGGTTGGGAAACAGCGTGTTTTGTTTCGCCTTGCAATCCTCCCCTTCTTTATCGCATTCGCGGTGATAATGAACATCTTTTCTCCAAGACCTCCACCCCGGCTTTGTGTCACAGTTGTAACATGTAATAAATTTCTGAAATGCAGATCTGTTGATAGTTCAACTGATCATGTCACATACCAAAGCATATCATTTTCAGACTATTAATTTTGGAAAAACAATATTGGAAGTAAATTAAAGGGACAGCAGGAAAAATCATCTCGAGAATATAAAATTTCCAGAATATCTTAAACTTGAATGGTGAGAAGGAAGGGACTGGTAGACAACGTAGTATCGCTACTATTGTTTCCAAGAGGAATATTTTCGTAATAAGAATTGAGTGATGAAAATGTCGGTCTTCTTATTCTTTATTTGAATGAAGGGTGAGAAACAAAAGGGGAATGCATTTTTTCACAAGTTGAAAAAGAGTGTTTTCTTTTCATGTTTTGGAAGTTACGCCTAACCCTCCTGTACTTTTTTATACAAAATATCTTCTCATCTGGTTGATTTTTAAATTTTTTTCAATAAAATGCAATTAATAAAACCTGAAAAAATGGTTTGTTGTTTTTTGTTTGAAAGTTGCTTAAATTTTGCTATAAAAATTCTGCTTTTTGAAATGCAAAGTCCAGATAGCAAGTGTGCTTGAATATCAACAAACGCAACGATATTTCTTAGATTGGTTTCACAATGAACGACACCATTATTTCATTTTGGCATTTCCCGCAAGGAGATCTATCAACTTTGCCGTCACCCTTTTACCCTGAGATAAAAATCTAGTAAAGGTCAATAGTGTTCTTCAGTCAGGGCCAAGCAGGACTCATTGAAAACAAAAACAATAACACCATGTATCAAAATATACCATGATAATGCGCAGTCTGGCCGAAGAATGGCTGCTGTTTTACCAATCAGTGACTAAATCTTTGGTACGCAGTTTAAATTGCATCATAATATTACATAATGAATGAAACGGATATTGAATTAAACATTGTAATCTTTCTTTTCTTTGTACAACAGTTTTGATCTTTCTAGAATATTATGCATGCAACACTTCGAATATTTACACGATGGCCAATAGGTTTAGGAATATTTCTTCATTATCATCCATGCTACACCTCAAATCTTTACACGATGGCCAATAGGTTACGTACGTGGAGCAATGCCGTTTAGGTACGTAACAATAGGGTTATGTTACATGAAGTCTGAACATAAAATGTAGTGTGAATGTGATCAAGTGTGCTCAAGGTTGAGAAAACGCTAGAGTCGTTATATCTCATGAAATTAATTAGTAATAATATAATAATAATTATTATTTACAAAAATAATAGAATGGGAATATTTAACATACTTTAAGAATGATAAAATACAAACAAAAAGACTCTCAGAATGCATGAGTCAATTGGGAAGAATTATTTTAACATTTATTTCTGGAAATCTAAAAACGAGCCATCCCTGCGCACGCCCTAAGGCACTAAGAAAGTTAGGCATTGTTTCCAACAATTAAGAACGTTAACTACTTGGCTGTCCGAGAGACGCTGCGTCCTAGGCAGCGGTGCAAACGTACCGATGGCCACTCTGCGACCTTCCTCAGAGCGAAACGGACAACCAAGTAGTTATTGACTCCGGCCACGGAAGCCCCAACTCTCAATAGAGAGCGCTGATTCGCGCCCGGCAAGGGCGCCGGGCCAACGTGGGCGTGGTGTAGTGCTTGGGCCGTGGGGTGTGCCGCGGGCGTTGGGTGACCGCGGGCGTGGCTGGGTGCGCAGGTGAAGGCGGTGCGCCTGGGGCTGGCTGCGCGGCGCGGCAGCCGCCTGGGCCCCACCCCCGACCCGGGCACCCTCAAGGCACGCAAGTCCGCCTTCGCGCTGCTGGGCAATATGGTGCGTCAGACGATGCCGCTCTTTCGCCGCCCACACCTCGGCCCCAACCTGCTCGCCTGCGCCCTCGAGTTCGCCATCCTGTGCTGGTAAGTGTCGTGCCTCCCACGTCCACAAAATTAAAACATCAAAGTTAATAAAACATTACCAAAATCCATAGATGGTTTTAAATGTCGAGGTTTGTAACCTCTAACATTAAATTCGTGCGCTACAAAGTTTAATTTGACTATGGCCATGTGTATTAATTTACGATTAAAATTTAACTAAAAAACGTCACTTCTTGTCCGAAATACACAAAGACGACGAAAAAATGTACAAACGGCATTCATGTGGTTCCAAAACATAAACAGATAGTGACACCATCAGTTTCATATATAAACTTTTACAAAATCGTGGAAATTTTTCATTCACGAATAAAACATCCAGCAAAAAATATCGGTGTTGAAAAACCCGTCGGGCTCCATAAATCGATATTGTCAAAGGAACATCAATGTTTTGAAAACATCAGAATTGTGTTGCATTATTCGAAAAAAAATGTAACACTAGAAGTAATCAAACGAACTTCGAAGAAATTTAACACTAAACATATGTTTTTACGAGTAAACAGAATTAGACATACGGTGAGGTTTTAGGGATTTCTAAATATGTCTAAAAATATTCTGTAGGTCAATTTATTCGGTCATTGTTTTGCTTCCAGATAGTATATTTGATTGATGGTTTAGGCAACTACCAGAGTGATTTGTCCCGTAAGTGTAAGGCATGTTTTGCTCGGGAGGTGCCGGTGATGTTTCCCCATTTTGTATTGCGAGGTCCGGCGCCGACCTACTGTAGCTAGTGGGGCTTTCTCCAAACATGTATCTCCCCAGATGAGAAGAGCTCTTAGCTCCTGATGGGCCTCCCGACATGTGTAGTAGTGTAGTGTGAGGATAGGAGAAGGAAGAGGAAGTTGAGATCGCGCGCGGACTGTGGCCCGTTTGATAGGTTACTGCTACAGCATTCGCCTCAGACAAACCACGTGAAACGTGAAAACACGTGATCAGAGCATCAGGCGTCTAGAATTTTCTTCTAGACAGCGACCTAGCTATCAAGCTAAAGTCGAAAATCCGTCGGGACTCGAACCTAGGACCTCCACGATTAGAGGGACTGCAGTGACATCAGTTGATGCCTTGAGCCATCTCTCCCGGTAAGATGGCATGTAGTTTTGTTTTAACAACTGTTTAATGAAATGTGAATGTCAGATTGTGAACTTACTGTGCCACCTGTGCTAATGATGTCCAAGGGCAAATTATGTACACTTTTGAGTCTCGTATACGTACTTCGCATTCGGAGAGAATTATCTGCGATGTATCGATATAAATATATTTTAAAACAGAAATTGGATCAGTGTCAAATATTGTAAGCTACTTCATAACAAACAATCAAACAGTAGAGACCTTGACCGCGGCTCGTAGGGTCTTTCCTCCAAAAGCGCCTAACATATGTGACGTAGATACATATGTACGAATAATCTAAATAAGTCTATAAACAGGATAAAAATAGCATATCGTGCATCTTTTTTTATCAAACAGTTCAATTGTTGACACTATCGGGGTCAGGATTTATACGAAGTTCACGATGTTACAACAACTCAGGGGCAAAAATGTAACAGGGTTTATTTAATATCGTTTCAAACATTTATCATTCAGATTTCTTGCTTGCATAAAGCATAAAGTTCGACAAGTGTTTCAACTGTTTATCTTCAACTGATAAATATACTTGTTTTTCAGATACATAACTCAATTCACAGTAATATAGTTACTTCCATAAATTCTTCATGATAGGCCGTCACGTTTGTCAGTGGTAACTTTTGAAGTGTCAGTCAGACACCACTTTAATGTCAGAAAAGAACAGTTGAGTGACAGTAGGATAACCATGAAAAACAACGTATAAAGTCCTTCAAAACATGTTGTCAGAGTGACGTAAATAATAGAAAGAATACATTAGTATGCTTCTCAGGTGTTGTTTAGATTCATACTTGAAAGTATGAATCTGAACAACTTAGTACCTTATAATGTGCTCTGAGATATTGGTCAATCTTTGTTTGCCAAACAATTGTATATCTTCAAATTAACTCAGTCGTCTTTCGGATGATAAATAACAATAATGATGATAATAATAGGCAAAATAGAAATAATGTGTTTGATTTTATATGTGTAAAATACTTCGATAACAATGGATATTTCTGGAGGCTAAGCGTAAATGCAATACTCATTCAACATTCAGATAGAAAAATTCCTTCAATCAGAAATAAAATGTTTAAGGAAACTTCTATTACTCTCACTAGCTGTAAAATAAAATTACTTATTTCTTATTGCTTTTATTAGTATATTTATTGTCACGGCAACGTCAATGATTATTAGTGACAAATGTATTTATTGGTTTATTGGTGGTATTATTGGTATTATTGGTCCACAGAATCAAGAATGAGATCGATTTTAATAACCTTTACAATATTAGTATAAATTATAGTATTTCCCATTCACTTTTTGTATAATAATATTTCTGAGAGTTTCTATTATTTTTCACAGTAAGAATGGCGATTAAATCAACTATTAAAACTATATATTTAATTTTGCTTGCTTACATCTCAAATTGTATTAAGTACACACACACGAGCTTTAAAACAACAATATTTTTGAGACGAGTTATATTACGTAAAAAGATTCGAAAATGTTAATATAAATATAATAATTTAGGTTCATAAAAATATTAAGTTCAAAAGTTCAAATTCAATTTATATACATGTATTGAATAATTGGCCGATACGGAAGCTTTAAATATATGTTATGTGAAAGACAAAACATTCTGTTTTGCGCTGAACGTTTTCATTATCTGAGGTCTTGACTTGCATATCTCTTTAATTACAAACACCAAATATTTCTACTTGTGTCACAGACGCGTACACGATTATGTATTCATTACGTCATATCGGTAAAAGATAAGAAATGTTTCCAACCGGATGGGATTGCCGTGTGTAATAACAACACATTGGTTTCTACAAAAGTTCCTTTTAATGAAATAAATAATAATAAAATAATAATAATAAATTAATGTAAAAATAATCAATATTATTTTCAATGACAATATACTACATTATTAGAATTATTCAAACAAAACACTTACCAATAACATGTCAGTATTACAAATTCGACAAATAAATACATAATAAATTTGTTATCCCTACTGTTTAGTTTTTGACTCGCACATTCAAGCTAAATATTAACTAAATGCAATTTTATTATTAGTACCTGTACGTATTTTTTGTAAATGAATTTGATCACCCATGAAGTACCTATTAAACATAAAAATGTGACAAAATATATAATAAAATATAAAACATGATGGTGGTAATTAAATAGGCAATGCAAATCAAAGTCAAGAAGATGAGAAATGATGCGAGTATATAAAAATTTTGAAGAATCTTTTAAAATGTTTCATTTGATGCAAAACCTTATGTTTTGATGCAAAACCCCACTATGTTTCTTGCGGAATAAAATACATTGAGTTGCCATGAAATGTAAGAAAGTTAAAGAAAATTTATTACATTTTCGACTTAAATTCTGAGTACTTTGCGGAATGGGATCCTCTACAACTTTTAAAGTGAAATCGGTGCGCCCAATACTATCATGTCTGACATTGAAGTTCAAGAAGCTTGGAGTCATCTGCAGTGGTTGAGCATTGTCGCACTGCAGCGGCTCTGGCAGGGAGGTCTCAGGGCGCGAGTCCGGCGGCGGCGGATTTTGCAGATAGCTAGGTCGGACTCAGCCCCTGTCCGTGGGAGTCTTCTAAGGGCCGGCTGCTCTGATCAGTAGTTTGCCGAGACTTCTCAGGTCGATACGACTCGAATGCAGGAGCAGTACCGTAACAAATGAGACAATAATATTTCGCGATCTTGCTCTTCTCTTCCTTGTCATGTCATTTCCTCATAGATACACTTATGCACTAAATTCTGGGCTATCCAGGAGACGCCGCGTCGTTGGCTGAGAGGCCGACGTGTCGCCTGACCGACCAACGTCGTCCTCTCAGCCAACGATGCGGCGTCTCCTGGACAGTCCAGAATTAATGGATTCGAGCTGCGGAAGCTTACGTGTGCCCACTTACGCACTACTTGTGCGCACATGACGGGAGACCAGTCAGACACTGAGAGCATCTCCCGCTGGGAGATACCTGGAGGAGGAAACCCCGCACACCAACGTGCAGATTGGCGCCAGATCTACTATCCAGTTGGGAAGGAATGGTCACTTTCGAATTAGAACATTCACTACACTAACGGAACTAATGCCCATTGCAATTGACGTGCCCGGAAACAAACTAATGAGAGGCATTTGCGTATTTCTTCGTCAGCGCTAACGGCCTGCTGCTGTGGCTGCCCGAGATCTTCAACCGCCTGTCGCAGTACGACGCCATGAACCCGGGCCACGGGCTGTCCGTGTGCCAGGCCATCGAGGCGCACGGCCTGGCCGTGGCCAACGGCAGCGCCAGCGCCGCCGGCAACAGCACCGACGACTGGGAGCTGTGGCTCCTCCCCGACGGCGAGATGGCGTCGCCCGCGCCCGTCGCCTGTAGCAACGACGTGGACGTGGGCGCGTTCAAGAACACGCTCATCATCGGCGGCGCCACCGCCCTCGCCTACATCCTCGCCGGCTACTGCGTCAACCACGTGGGCAAGCGCAACGTGCTCAGTAAGTGGCAGGCACACGGGACCTGTAACCAAAGAGGCACTCGCTGCCATGCACATTGAGTAGCAATATAAAAAATGGAAGCGCATACTCTCGAATTGTAACAATTACGTAGTAGTACATAGTATTATTACTTCTATTCCACTAACACTCGAGTTATCAGGTATTTCGTTCTCTTTCCCTGATTCTTTGAGCAAATGTTGAGATGGCTCCTCTTTTTGCTTCTGGATATAAATGTAACTTCGTTATCTGTGCACATCTTCTATATTTCAGTACGTAATATAGTCATTAAAATTATCGTTCACCATGTTGTTGCTGCAGGAAGTGTATTCCTTCACGAATAATATGAACAAGAGCCCAAATATATAGCTAATTTGTCCTTGAAATGTTATTTTATTACATCGGGGCAAATATTTTGTTAACAATTCTGCCAAAAAAGGTTAATGTCTTCCTGTGTTCAGAATTCAATGTAAATGGCTTAGGGTAGGGATCCCACACTTAAGAAAAAGGCGCAGAATATACTTCTCCGAGTATCATATCACATAATTATTTTAATTGTGGTGAAAAAAATCAAGAAATAAAAATAAATAAAATCACTTGAAATGCTCATATAAAAAGTCACCAAAAAGTCTCCAAGAATTCATATCGCTAATTTTTAGAAATTCATGCAATTTAATTTAGTGTATTATTATCTAGTATAACAAAAATATTCACGAAAAAATATGTCTTGTGCGTGGCAGAGCTTCTTGGCAGCACTTGGTTGTAATACCTCATATCATAATATGGAAAGTCACTTCCGTATTCTACTCACTCGCTCATATGAGACGTTGATTGGTGCTTTTTAATATTTTAATAATTAGAATAATACTTGAACAAGACGAAGTAACTTTTAACTTCATGTTTTGTAAAACAAACTAATGTCATTTTCGCACTTGTTCTACTGTTTGACGAATCAAATTTTAAGTATTTTACCTAACTCAAGGAGTAAAGTGGAATAGAAATTTTAATTATTAAGGGAAACATGGTTGTTTTCGTGTAATAACTAGCACTCATTGACTTGTCACTTTATTTGGGATCATAGCACATTATCAGAAAGTTATTTATAAATTAAAATTTCTTTGCGATCATTACAATAGTTACGCGTTTTGTGGTAGATCATTCAAAATTCCCTAAATTACACACTAATTATAAAACAGTATTGAGAACGTAACACAGTACATCAGATAAGGTACCTAAGGTCGTTTGTTTTTGCAGTTGGGAGTATGGTGACGTCAGGAGCTGCAGGCATGGTTCTCTATTTCATGACAACTCCCGACACGGTTCTGGGAGTCACCTGTGTGTTCATCGGTCTCGCGACTATGTGTGTGAGCGTCGTCAACAGCATAGTAGTCGAGCTCTTCCCCACCAATCTCAGGTGGGCGACATCATAGAACTTCAAAATATGTTGAACGTTTCCAAAACAATGGCAGATTAATACTCATGTCTTTTGTCTGTGTTGCAGAGCGATGGCTGTCTGCCTGTCACTCATGTGTGGGCGACTAGGTACTGTTGTGGGCAGCCTCCTAGTGGGGTCGTTACTAGAATTATCGTGTCCGTCCGTCTTTTTTGTTCTGGCGGGAGTCATTTTCGGTAAGACAATCATCTCATTTACAAATTTAAAATAGTAACAATTTAGTCAAGGCGTAACTTTTGAGAAGTGTTCATAAAATACCACTCGAAAATATTCTGAAAGAATAACAATATTGAAGTTTTTTTTCAAATATCTAAAACAACTAAAATGTTAAGAATTTATAAATATAAAAATAAACGGTCATTAAGTTCGAAATTACAATCTATTACGATATGAAACGTCCAAGCAACGCTTTGACAATATCTCCATTGAATTTGAGAGACAAATATTTGTATGACATTGCCCTAAGATAAATATATCTTCACAGGTTGCGGCTTCCTGGGATTTCTCATCCCCAAGCATCCCGCACCGGAAGTGATGCCCATCACTTGAATAACAGCAGTCACAATTTCCGCATGAAGACCTGAATGAAGCAAAGATATTTTATGGTTGGCGACTCTATTCCGCTGATTCGAAGCAATTCTCGAAAATTCAGCAGAAACTAATTAACTAGTCAGATATTCATCACAAAAGTAAACTTTCACAATATACTTTTATAAACATATTAGCACAAACTTATCTACACTAAAATATTTATTATTTTTTACCACGGGAATGATGGTGATACTTCAGTGGTACAAAAACTATAAATATTAGTGACTGCGTTCACTACGTCACGATAAGTAGTGAGTTCGCACTGGCGCAGTGTTGAAACAGGTCTTCGCATCGCCTCTGTATATCTCCTCCCGTCAGCATCCTTCAAAGATAACAGCTGCTGTTGCACAGCGCGCAGATGCGGCAGGAATGGGCAGGCGCCGCGACTTACACTGGATAGGCAATACTTCTTTCTTAGCGGCCGGCGGGTTGCCTATCGTTTCTTTTGACGAAATACTCTTCGTAAAACCTTTGCTCTATGCTTATTTCAGTTAGAAGGACATGTTTTATTCAGTCATCTGCCTAGAAGAATAGAAGATATTCAAAACACGTCAGACGAAGAATCTTGGGATCAGTATTATATTCAAATTTAAAATGTACAAAGAGTTTTTGTGATTAAATGGTACGCAAGTAATAG